CTTTAAAAAAAAAAAAAGAATTTAAAAAAAAAGAATTAAAAAAAAAAGTTCGCTGCCATTAATGTTCTTTCAGTTGGAGGAATAGAGGTTGGAAACTAGGCTAGATCTGATATTCTTCCCATCTAATGATCTCCCTGGAAGGATAGGCAAAACCACAATACCTGGGGTACATCCTCTTTATCCGAAGCATTGGGATTTCCACCTGGGATTGCTGGGTAAGGATCAGGTAGGCCAGATTTCTTATCCATGATTTTACCTGACGCTTCCTCCTGTACTTTAAGATTAAATGCAAAGGGTCACGGTACTTACTTTGTCACTAGGGAAGGGATTAAGTACCAACTATAGAGTCAGCTCAGGTCTTGAGGTCCGTTTCTCAGTCTTTCTCAACTGGTGTAGAGGAATATTCTTGTGCCCTCAATAGTATCTCCTAAGACTCTCAGGCTTCCTTACCCACCCAGCTTCAAAATCTAGCTCCCTGGGCAGGTGAGGTGCTTCACAATGTCTCTTCTCCCTCCTTGCTGCCATGCTAGTAGTTCCTACCAGGGTCTGCAGATTTCCCTGAGCAGAGGTGAGCCCTAGTGATTCGGTAGAGGTAGCTTACTTCGTAGAGTAACCCTTACCGTGAGATCTCCCCTCTTAACAAATTGTAGGTGTTCTTACCACACACATGAAAAAAGGGCACAAAGGAACTTGGAGGTGATGGATATGTTTATTACCTTGATTGTGGTAATAATTTTATGGGTATATGCCTATGTCCAAACTCATCACATTGTATAAACTAAATAAGTTCAGTTTTTTTATGTATCGATTATACCTCAATAAAGCTATTTTTTTTAAATTAGTAACCCTTCTAGTTTCAGGTGTCTAAGTGCCCAAACTGGGACCAGGAGTAGCTTCTTCTGTACAGCCTTCCAACCAAGGAAATGGTCAGTACCAGTCAGAAAAACTCCTACTGGTGAATACTTTCCAACCGTCATGAATTTTAACCAGCAGAGGGCACACAGCAGACGTGCAATCTCTATTGAATTATCAAGCTGTGTCTTGCGTGGAGTGGTCTTCACACAGCTGGGTTCCATGGTTGCCCAGATCACTAGTTTTGAAGCTCTGGCTTGGGAAAGGTAGTTTCTGATTTGAGAGTTCATCAGGAAGCCTGGGGACACCCAGCTACCCAGAGAGAGAGAACATGTGCCAGAGAGAAGAGACCTGGGAGGCACATGAGAACCAACTATGGACATTTTAAAAATACAGATTCCTGAGCTCTGCCCTTGGGGCTAGTATCCCAGGAATCTGTACTTTAACAGATTGCCAAGTGAGTTCATGCAGTTGGCTATGAGCCAGCATTTTGGAGCCGCTAATCTAAGGGTATTTCTGGGACCCCTATCTCGGTCCTGCTGCCCCAGCTCCAGTTGTCAGGGTCGTGGATATTCAAGGGGACTTGGAGTCAGAACAAGATTTGAAAGCAGTGGAGCTTTAGACCAGTCCTTCCAAAGGGAGCAAGACCTCTCCCAGTGGGGGGGATGAGGGATGGTGAGTGGAGGAGAGCCTGTAAGTTAAGGCAGTGACTCTGTCCCCTCAGGTGTTACAAGAGGATAATCATTGACCTCTTTCTGCATCTGCTACTCGAAGTTGCTAGAGAAGCTGAGCCTTGCTATCCAGGGAGCTCTCAGCACATCTTCACACTCTCCATCCCCACCCCACACTCAGGGTGGGCTGCAGTCAGTTTCACTTGGTGGGCTTCTCCAGCTACTCTGGGCTGGGTATCCCTCCTGGGCACTGCTCTAGGTGGTGGTGCTCAGAGCAGCATCTGGTCTTGGGCTCTTTGACTGAAGGATCCTGCTGAGACAGTCCTCAGCCTCAGTGAACTTGGCCAAAGCAAGTCATCAGGCTGAATCTGGAGGCCTGAGCAAATGCAAGATACTGGGAGAGGGATAGTTCATGGGGCGACATGGGGGACCAGTGACAATATCCTACAGCCCCAAAGGCTGAGCAGCAGAATCCAGCTGTCTGTGTGGTTCCCAGCTGTTGTCCAAAGGCAGGGATATCTTGGGACTCCTTTGGCTCAGAGCTGACAATTCTGTCAGCCACTTGGGCTTCTTGCAGAGACCTGATCAGGGCATCCCGTTCAAGAAGGAATGTTCCCATTCTGGCCTCCTGGATATTGAATGACCTGCTTGCCAAACCCCCATGGGTCAGGGGGACCAGCTCTATTGAACCTGTAATCCCTGCAAGGGTTCTGGAGCTTGGAACTAGCTAGAAAGACAGTATAATATCACTGAAAGAGCCTAGACTGAAGTAAGACAGATCTCGCTTAGCCACTTACTATATCGGACAAGTCACTAAATCTGTCAGCACATCTATATTCATATATGTAAAATGGAAATCATTATCCCCACCTCATAGGGTTGAGGGAGCATTAAATGAGCTAGGGAAGGAATGTAGTGTTTTACTATAGGGCCTGGCGTATAATAGGCATTCAAATGTTGGTAGTTATTTCTCTGGGTTCTGTCTCTGTCACACAGGCTATTCAAGGGCATAGCTCCAAAAAGTAAAGAGGAGCTGTAGAGGAGACATCCTGGCCATCATGGATCATTCCAGAGACATAGTGAGGCTGAATGAGAGGCCTAGAAGCACCTCACTTCACTTGATTGTCCCTGCTCCTCACCACCCTCACAACAACCAGGGTGTCATGGTTCTCTGGCCTCCTGAGTCCCCTCCCTCTGGTTGCATTCTAGGAACAGCCCATTCCCAAATCTTTTTGCTCAATCTGATGGAGGCCTGAGTGCCATTGTGCCACCCTGCTGATGCCAGCAGAAAGTTCTAGGGCTGGGAGACTGGGTGAAGCCCGGAGGTTCTCAGGATTCTCTGTTCCCAGGTACCTGAGGGAGAGCAGTGTCATTACTGCAGGTAAGGACAGGATCACGAAGGTGAGGCTCAGAGGACAGAGGCAGGTAGGATTGGTGAGTGCCTGCTAGTCACTGCAAAATTACCAGAGCCTTGGCAGGACCAAAAGATGATAGTCTTGGGGAAGGTCAGAGTCTGGTTTTTGTTTTGTTTTTTAAAGATTTTATTTATTTATTTGACAGCGAGAGAGACACAGCGAGAGAGGGAACACAAGCAGGGGGAGTGGGAGAGGGAGAAGCAGGCTCCCCACTGAGCAGGGAGCCCAACGTGGGGCTCGATCCCAGGATCCTGGGATCACGACCTGAGCTGAAGGCAGACGCTCAACGACTGAGCCACCCAGGCGCCCCGGGTTTCTACCTTATCTGAACTAAAGTGAGCATAAATGGTCAGACAAGATTATCTGTACTTAGCCTATTTGATAAATAAACTGATGAGGGGGGAGGAGCAAGACACTTTTCCTTGGCCTCCAGATAAGTTGCTCTGCATTTTTACAAAGGCCTACTGAAGACAATACCAACAGAATGAGTAATGAAGCAGTTCATTCATTAGGTATCGCAGACAAATAAAGAGACCATTGGAGAGAGACTGCTCCAAGAGAACAAGTTTGTCTCTTATGCAGGGCTGGTGTGTGACCCTGTCTCAACTGCTTTAAAAGGGCTCATGGCTTTGTGCCAGAACCACCCCCACTTCACCCCTATTCCACCTCAGCCCTAAGCTTAACCATAAGCCATAATTTAAAATAAAGCTCTTTTCATTCACTATGGATTTCCATCTTTTCCCCCTCTCTAATGCCTCAGGGCTAAGCCCAAGTGGGTTCTTGCAGCCCATTCATACCCAAGAGGCAGAAGAGACCCCAGGATGTGTAAAGTGCTTTGGGATCTATCCCACGGACCAGGACCAAGAGATGCCTCATTCCTCCCTCTGCCCACAGGTGCCATGCTCCTGGCTCAGGGTCAAGGATGGGATCAGACAGGCTTTTCCTGTGGCAGATGTCAGGCAGGGGCAAAGGGCAGGACTGTAACCACTCCCGCCAGCCCTAAAAAGCAAAACAAAACGGGTGAGGTGGGAACCAGGCCACTGAGAGAAGCGAAAGGGAATGAGGAGGTGCCGAGGGTCTTGGGCTCGGCAAGCGGCCACACGGCCACGCGCTGGACGTTTACAACCACTAGAGCGATGCCTCGGGCGAGGCCCCCCTCCCAGATCCCTCCCTTCCCGGACCTGACCGTCTGGATCACCTTGATCTTCTCGCCCTCGATTTCCACGGTCTTCTCCCTGAAGTCCACGCCAATGGTGGCCTCAGTCTTGTCCGGGAAGGTCCCCCCGCAGAAGCGGAAGGTCAGGCAGGTCTTGCCCACGTTGGAGTCCCCAATCACGATGATTTTGAAGATGCGAATCTGCACGTACTGGTCCAGCGACGAGTCGAGCTCCAAGGACGCCAGGCCAGCGGCCGAGGCGGGCTGCAGGCTCCCATGGCCCAGGATGGGCTGCGCCATCTCCCCCGGACCGGACCCGGGCCCCAACCCCCCTCGAGGGCTCCACACAAAGAAAACGGCCACGTTAGTGCGCTCGAGGCGAGCGAGCTTTGTGCGTGTGAGTGTGTGCGTGTCTGTGAGTGTATGTCCGCGCGTGTGTGCGTGCGCCGGCAACGTGTGCGCGCGCGCGTGAAGGGGGTGCCTCTCTCCCCAGGCCCCCCTCCTCCGCCAGCGCACCCTCCTTGCCGCTCCGAGGCACCGACACAAAAGCCGGCGAGCCGGAGAGAGATGGAGGAGAGTGAGCCGGCCGCGAGCCTCCTCCTTCTGCCTGCGCCCTCGGACCGGACGCTCGGGCAGGCGGTCCTACAGCACTCCCCAAGCGGCTGCCGCCGCCGCGCCGTTGCCTAGACCCTCCCCTGCCTGGACCCCAGGGACACACCGGAGGGAGGAAGCCTAAAGAGGGAAGGGAGGGGGTGAGGAGAGCGGCACACGCCGCCCCGGGAAGGTCTTCCTTTCTCCTTGCCCCCATTTATTTTATAGGTTGCGGGCTCCCCGCCCCCACGTTCTCGGAGCGCGCGGGGTCAGTGGGCAGGGAGCACAGCTGGAGAGGACAAAGACAGCTGCACCGTAAGGCATCTCTGGACCACTTCGGCCCCGGAGCGACGCGATTCGGAGGGGGGTGGGGAGGGGCAGAGATACCTCTTTCACCTCCCGCGCCTCCTCGGTCCCCTCCCAAGCCTTGGGATAAAGGGATGCTCTGTCTTATTGAGTAAGCAGGTGCACTCGCACGCCCCAGGGAGCCGGGGAGGGCGCTGCCAAGACATGCCTTGGTTTGTGGGGGCCCGCGCAGCTGACAGGAGGGAGCCGGGGGCACGGGGCGTGCGTGTGTAGGGGGAGTTACTGTCTCTGTCACCGACTTGCCAGATGTAGGGGGCCGCGTGCCAGGCGCCAACCTCCCCTCATCACACCACGAGCACCCATCCTCTGAATGTTCAGGAGAGCGGCCTCCATTGGCTGTCGCAGTCGGTTGTGTTTGGCTGGCCAATGGGGAAGGCCCGCCGCCGGAGAGGGCCAAACTGGGGGTAGGAGAAGGGGGGAAGCTAGTGGTGGCAGCGCCAGCCAAAGGGAACCTTGTTTTCGGGGCTAACCATTACTGACCCAGGTGGAGGGATCTTGGGACACGGTATAAGCCTCACAGCGTCTCTCATATGATATAATGTCCATATAATCATAAGTCCTTTCAGAATGGTGGAGTTTCGAAAGGAATTGGAAACCCCTAGGAGGGTTCACCCCTCTGCAACTGAATGTAGAACAAAGTGGTTGAGTCTAATTTGCCAGAAGCCTAGATTATGCTTGGAAGATGATAAATGAACAGAACTTTCTTACGGTATTAGGGGGCAGCTTCCCAAAGCTTACTAAGCATCACGCATCTTGGTGGAGACCTGCATTCCTTCTCTTGAGGATGATTCAGGTTCAGAATTTGCTTGTTTGAAATCACCTTTACTGAGGTACAATTCACATACAATAAAATGCACCCATTTTGTTTGCTTTTAAGACTTTATCCCTCCTCTCACACATTTCACAGGCTAAGGCAAGGCAATATTGACATATGTCAGTAGTACCCACATATGAGTTACTTGCTAATGCCATCGAAGTCAGGGATTCCAGCGGTGCACATGAGCTGCCATCTTATTTGTGTGCGAGGCTGAGCGGCAGAAGAGACAAACGTGACCAAGTCCATTCCCACTATGAGAAGAACAATTCAGTGAATCGGTGATAGATCTGTAAGCAAGTTGGAAATGTGACCGCTCAGCCAAGTCCAAGTTACTCAAAATGGCTGGGAAAACTTGGGGGGTCTTCTGTTAATAAGCTGTTTAGCTGAGTTAGCAGATATACTTACAGCTAACTCTTTTCCAAAATATGTGAGTCACCCATTTCTAAAACCCTAGATTATACTATTCACTATTAAAACCATCTCGAGGATTTAATCTTAAGTGGCTAATCCAAGGTCATCATTATGAATACCAATTATTATGGTACAGTGTGAATAGCAATCTTCACTGTACAGTATTTTGGCTTTTTGATTGGCTGATGTCTAAGTATAGTTTGCTGCATCATTCTCCTGTGTATTTGTGATGCTCCTGGTGATCATTATCTACAAAAGAGTAGTTACAAAAGTGGGGGTAACTATTAATTAGGCATACCCAGTACGTAGAGTGAAAAGAAGCCAACTCACAGTCAGAATCAATGCTAACTTTCTGAGAGATACAAAAAACATTACATCCACATGAGATTATTTAGATGTGTGCTTCCAGCAAAAACTTGTCACTCTCAGAGTTTATATTATAGCTTTAAGGTAGAAACACTCATTTCTGGAAATATGGTATCTCAAAATGGGTACCATGCCCTAATAAAAAGTGCTTGTTACCTCTGTGGGGTGAGATTTTGGGGAAATTTTCACTTATATTTTTGGAGTTAGTTTGTTGTGTGTTTATTGCTTTTGCAAAAAACATGATGAAATATAATTTTTAATTAGAGATTTTTTTTAAAGTACCTCATTGCATCTATTGCAAAAAAAAAATGTGCTATACAGCACCTGTTCTTTGTGTTAATTGTGCATCACTAAATGATTGTCTTTCAAATATACCCAGCCATTTTCATAGGCACCTGATCATCATGATTTTGACTGTGTTTTCCAAAGCCTCTTTCCCCAACAGATATGATTAATTTTGTATTCCATGTTTATTATTGTTATTGGCTTTTAGAAATAGTAAGAAATATCAATGTCTGTAAGGCCTTTATTAAGTAAATATAAATAATTTTACCCTATTGTGAAATTGATATTTTCAATATTTATCCCTCAAAGCAGCCCTAGGTAAAAAGTCACCCATTGCCTGCACTTCTGAACATTAAGGGAACCCTGGACCTTTTTCACCCAATTAAGACTGCTTCCTGAGTTAAACTTCCTAAAACGAGGTCTTGTGATTTCATTCTCTATCCCTATTCCACTAGAAAAAAAACTTCATCACCTACAAGATTAGGGCCAAATTCTTTTGCCAAGTCAGCTCTGGCCCCAGAATATTAACCTGTCCTTATCTAATTCCTAGTATATATTCTCTGTCATTGTCCCCCAGAAATGTGCTGGGGTTTCTTTGTTTTACACCTCTAAGCCTTTTAAACAGCATGGTGCTTCCTCTAAGATACTTGACAAATATTAGCTCATTTAATCTTCATAACAACAACCCTAGGAGATTGGTAGATGAGGAAAGTGAGGCACAGTTAAGTGACCTGCCCAAGTGGTAGAGCCAGGATTCAACCTGGGTGAGAATGGATCCAAAGTCAAGGGGTGCTCAACCACTAAAAATATTACCTTTGGTCCCAATGTATTCACCATCTGAAATGTCATTCCTCCTCCTCCACTGTCTATTTGAATTTTACTATACATCCCTCCAGACAAAGCTCAAGTAACAGTTGCATGAAGTCTTTCCTTAGCTACTCCATCCTATTCACTTTTCTCTTGCTCTGGCACTGAAGGAGACATTCCATATTTAAATGATAGTATGTGTCATCTCCCCAACTAGTGACCACTTCCTATACTTTCCACATGCTCCAGAGCCCCTTTCATAATATAGTCCAAGTGGCAAGTACTCATTATACACTTGTTAAATGAATATGTAACCCCAAACTTTGAAAAAGACCTATGTTTATGTTTTGCAAACAGTCAAAAAATTTATTTCCAACTTAGCTTACATTTGGGAGAGTCAAAACACCTATTTACACTCAGCCCCTCACCCTACTCCTCCCGCAATTCGAAAGTCCTGCTTAGCATTTCTCTGCAAGGCACAAACTCTTTTTGCCAGCATCCTTGCTCTCAAGCACAGAAGCCATAATAGTAGGAGATTATCCGCAGCACCTGGTACAGCACCTAGGAATTGCACAATATAAAAACGACATGGGGAAAGAGAGCACGGAATGATTACTTCTCCTAGAAAAAGGGGCTGGGTGGGAAAGTGCCAGCAATTTGTAAAAGACGGAAGTCCACTCCGAATCTGGTAAGCCAGGTGCTCTGGCTCGGACCTTACGGAAAGACTGGAAGTGGAATACAGCCAGAGAATCAGGAAGGCTTAGTACCGAGTGGTAGCCTAGGACAGGAGAACAAAATGCGGTGCTACGGTGCTCACGCTTTGTGAGGTACTGTTATCTGTTCCCGCCATCGACACAGCGGCAGCACCGGCCACAACCGCCAGGCAAAGAGGCCCCACGACTCCCTCCTTTGGAAACTCGCTCAGCGGAAAGCACTGCCACCAACCCGAGGAAACCTGCGAACACCCGCTGCCGCGGTCTTTGCAACAGTGTGGGCAGCCAGGCGCATGCGCAAATCTCTCGCCGTACGAGCCAATCGCAATGCGGCACTGAGTATTACGCCTGCGCAGTAGGCCTCCAGCCGCGTTTCCCCTTCCCCTGCTCTAGCAGGCCAGCTTAACTGTCCAATGCCCTCCCGGAGCTGGAAGGAGGAGCCTGCGTATAGTGCGTGTGAGGGGAGCTGGGGGGGAACCGGCCGGGGCCCACCGTGTTTGACCGGTCGGTGGGTCAGTGAGAAGAAAGGAAAGGAGGAGGTACAGAGTAACGGTTGCCGAAATGTTCCGGTGTGGAAGCCTGGCAGCAGGTGCATTCAAGCAGAAGCTGGCGCCCTTGGTGCGGACAGTGTGCGTCCGAGGCCCGAGGCAGCGGAACCGGCTCCCAGGTGACTGACCCATTCCAGGCAACCCTGACCTCGCAGACCAAGGGCCTGGGTTCCATAGGCTCCCTGGGCCTGGTAGTCCTCCCCCTGCCTCCTCCCTGGGAAAACCTTAACCCACTCACAGCCAAGTGAATTTTGAATTGGCGGGATCTAAACCATGAGTTTCGCAAGCCGTGCCGACCTGACCTTCAAGGGATTTGAACTCAGTAGTCCGCTTGAGGCCTTTTCCTGGGAGGGTTTGCCGTTCAGGGATAACAGAACAGCTGGCTGTTTGGTATTGTCCAGTACCACCTCCAGGCTACCCCCAGTCCGCCTTTTTAGAGCAATGAGGTCAAGTAGACTTTGTCATTTACCGATTGTGAGACTTGAAACACGGCATTAAGCCCGATGCTTTAGTTCCTTCTGTAAATGAGGATATTACCTGTTCTACTTTCCAAATCCCAGATGAGATCCATAGATTCGAGTGCCCAGTGAAAGAGAAACAGTGCAGTTCAAGTAAGGAGTCAGTCGGTTGTGCGCCAGACAACAGGAGAGTCGGCCCAGAATTAATTTGAAATGTCTGGTCCGTGTAATTCTTGGTGGTCTTTAATGCTTCAAAGAAACAGTTTGCAGAGCGCATTGTATTTGCTCTCCGTGAAGTTGTTTTATCAGATTTTAGAGCTGGAAGGGATTTTGTGGTAAAGTTCAACCCACTCACTTTATAGATAATAAACGGAGACACAAGAGAGGTGAAATTATTTGCCCAAGGTCACATACCTAATTAATAGGTAGAGCAAAGGATACTTTGCCATCTCTAGGCCACTAATCCACTTGCCACAACTCCACATGCTTCCTAAATTTTGACCTCAAAAGGTTAAGAATGCATCCGATTCCCCTTTAGCCCACTGTGCATGAAATATCCATGAACTTATCTGAGCATGTCTTGAGCTTGCTCATTTTCAAACTGCACAACTTAATGGGGATAATGAATTATCCACCTGTAGGAGGTGCTGGGTTTTTTTTTTTTTTTTAATCTATTTTTGAATGACCACCTGGGGACATTCACATTTGCAATGTCAGAAGTTATCCTTGAGGCCTTTCCAATGTGGAACCACCTTCTGGGTGCTTTAAAAATATAATGAAAATATTTCCCTTAGAGTGTTTGCAAATGTGCGTTTGAACAGTTTTCCCAGTTGCTATGCCTCAAGAAAACATTTCCTAATTTGTGTATCTGAGGACATATCCTAAAACAAATTGCTCTTGGAACTTAAAAACCTCTGCCTTAGCTTTTAAACTAATATCCCATCTATGGTGTCATCTGTATGGGTTTTGTTTTTTTTTTTTAAGATTTTATTTATTTATTTATTTGAGGAGAAGAGCATGAGAGGGGGGAGGGTCTGAGGGAGAAGCAGACCCCCTGCTGAGCAGGGAGCCCGATGCGGGACTCGATCCCGGGACTCCAGGATCATGACCTGAGCCGAACGCAGTCGCTTAACCAGCTGAGCCACCCAGGCGCCCCGTCTGTATGGGTTTTATGCATTGAAATGATAGTGCTCTATGTAAGCTGTACAGAAATTTACACAGAAATTTAGGTAAGCTGAAGATTTTCATCCATACTAGCCTTTCAAACTTTGTGTACTTATTTTGCTTACAACTCACAACTTTTACCAGCACTATGAAGTCTAACCAAAAGTTCTCATTTAAATAAGTATGGATTTTTAAAGTTAAATTGATTTTTTAGATATTTGAAGATGGTTGGTGATATTAGAACTACTGAAAAATACAGACTCAAAATGGTTTTTTCCATTGCATGATTTTGTTTGGAGGCAGTCTGCTGTAGAATATATTCTGACTTCTTGACATACCCATCCATCTCTTTGTATACACTTAATCTTTGTCCTTTGGCCAAGCACCACAGTACATCATATGCCTTTAGAAATAGGCGGGGTGGGGTTACAATTTCAAAAAGAAATGATTCTGTCATTTTAGGAATTAACCCTGTTTTGTAGCTTGATTACTAATTGCTTATAATCTGATTTCTTTTTCACATCGTAGCAACTGCCCTATGTTTTTGCATAGATAGGAGAGAGGCGCTCTTTGTTTATATGCCATTTCCCCTCCTCTTTCCCCTTTCTCCTCCCACCTCCAATTCTTTGTCAGGATGTTAGCAAACTTGACACCCACCTTGAAATGATCTCATCCACATCTGTCACCATTGTCAAGTTCATTTTCATTATATGCTGCCTTTTGCCTTAAAGCCTAATTGCTGTTGTTTACTTAATTTATTTGGATGTTCTGCCTCTTTCCAGAAATGATTGAAGGCAATTAATAGTGACTATTTATGTCTGCATTTGGCACTGAGTAGCAGATAGGTTAGGTAATAGATATTTTCTATTCTGTAGTATTTTATTTGGTTACCAAACATTGTGCTGCCCATGTGATCAAACTGATCACCGACCCCTGACCTGAGGGTCAAATGTTTGAACATTTTTCTCTATTCAGAATCCTTCTTACCTCTTTAAAAAGGAAACTGGACTCCTTGTGGGCAAGGATCCAGACTTCCTGGGAACTGCCAAATGACACTTTTTTTCCCGAAGCCTAGAAGATGAGCCCTTCCCCACTTTTTCTGCTGAGGCAAAGCTTTCCAGAAGAAAATCTGTAGCAAGTCAGCCTTTTCTGCATCCAGTCAATAAGTTGTATTTTCTAGATATTTCCTAACATTTTAAAGGAGTTGCTGCATATTGTAACATTTCTCTAGATCATGTTTCCAAAAATTACCTAGTCCAGTAAATCAAGTGGAGAGCTGACCCCAAACCTACTGAATGAGAATGTCCTGGAGAGAGCCCTGGGAATTTTTATTTTAACAGGCTCTTGATGTAATTCTTATGATCAGGCAAGTTTGGAAAATACTGTTTTAAGGCTTAAACAGACTGAGCAGCCTTCAGTCTCCTGTGATTTGTATTAAGCCCATTTTCTGATACTCAGAATAGTGGCAGCCGTTGTCCCTTCCTATACTACACACTACCTGAGACCAGGGATTATGTCCTGTTTTTGTGTCCTCAGTGCTTTGCATAGTCTGTGGCACATGGTAAATTCTCAGTGGCTGAACCCTAGTACTGTGAAGGACTTAACTTTGTAGAACAGAGTGAGATTGCTTTTTTGTCATCTAAATCATTTTTCCTCTGGTGCCTTTCTCACTGCACTCTAGTTATTACTACTATGATTCGTCTAAAATAACAGCAAGGGGGGCGCCTGGGTGGCTCAGTTGGTTAAGCAACTGCCTTCGGCTCGGGTCATGATCTTGGAGTCTGCTTCTCCCTCTGACCCTCCCCCCTCTCATGCTCTCTCTCTATCTCATTCTCTTTCAAATAAATAAATAAAATATTTTTTAAAAAATAAAATAAAATAACAGCAAGGGTTATGCTAAAGAAAAGTTGGGGAGCTGATAAAGGGAAATAGTTCTTGCATTCCTTATAAAGAGATACCTAGTTACAGTGGACAGATCATGTAGGCTTATCCTGTCTTGTGTTTTATCCATGTCAGAAAAGTCAGTTTGACATTCAGAAAACAAGACTCCAGAGCATATGGACCTCTTAACTATTTGAGAATCCTAGGAGCCTCAGTTCTGTGGGTGTATTTCTGGAAAAGGCTTTCTGGGAGTATGAAAAAACAGGAGATTATGAAATCTACAGAAATGAAATTGCTGGTTTAGGCACTATTCTAATGCTAGTCTGTAGTATTTGAACTTACTGATTTATTATTAAGCAACCTGAAATAAATGAGATCTGGCTAAACTTCTTTGCAAAAAATTCTTCAAATGTTTAGTCCTTATCATAGAATTGGAAGGAATTTCTGTTTCCTTCCTTCATTAATTAGTCCAACAAATATTTATCGAGCAAACACCTACTATGTGTTAGGCACTAAATACAATTGTAACAACAATTCAAGAATCAAATCCTTGAACAATATAGTGAATATAGACAACAATACTGTATCCTAATCAGACTTCCTAAGAGACTAGATCTTAATTATTCCAGCCACTAAAAAGAAATGATAATGGGGCGCCTGGGTGGCTCAGTCGTTAAGCGTCTGCCTTCGGCTCAGGTCATGATCCCCACATGACCCCACATCGAGCCCCACATCGAGCCCCACATTGGGCCCCACATCGGGCTCCCTGCTCAGTGGGAAGCCTCCTTCTCCCTCTCGCACTCCCCCTGCTTGTGTTCCCTCTCTTGCTGTGTCTCCCTCTGTCAAATAAATAATAAAATCTTAAAAAAAAAAAAAAGAAATGATAAATATGTGATAGAGGTGCTAATTATTGCTACAATGGAAATCATAATATAAATGTATCAAATTGAAAAAAAATTGAATCCCAAGGGTGAGGAAGGAAGTGCTACCTCTCTGTGTGGTCTGATTGTGAAAAATCTAAAGGAGAATCTAAAACAGACTGCTGTAATGAGAAGTCAAGGAGTAAGTTGGCTTCTCACCTTAGCAAGACAAGTGAAAAGACATGTTTAGCCATGATACGAAGTTTCCTAAAATCTTGAAGCTATGGGGGAAAGGTGTGGGAGTAATTTTATGGGTAAAAGAAAACTGGGGGCAGGGGGCGGGGAATATAAACATCCATACATCACCTCTTACAAAACTAAAGTCACTTGGTAGGTATGTAAAAATTTGGTTTGTTGATAATAATAGTATATTACATTTCTTTTCAGGCAGTAGTTTAAATGTTAACCAATTTACTTTTTAAAAAGTTAATTTACTTTTAAATGTCTTTTTTTTTTCTTTTTGGCAAATTAAGGCAAAAACTGCTGAACTTTCCCAAATCTACACTCTTAGTTTTATCTGTGAAAAGCAAGCAAAAACAGAATAAACACATCAGTATTACATTAAAACAAAGTTATTGCATCTGGGTTTAGGATCTTCTAGAGGGACAATAAACGAATTTTTTTAAACTACTTATTTTCAGTAAATAAACTTGGGGTGGAGGTGGGGGACACAACTAAATTCGCTGAACTAAACCACGTGGAATTTTTTCTACCCAGTTTCATTTACTAAGCTCTGAGAGTTGTCAGTCTCTGCTTTTGGTGCTTACTCATTTTATGGGTTTCTGAAAATCAAAAGCTTGCCCAGATCAAGATAAGCTTCCCCACCCTTGCACATTTTCATTTTCATGATTTGTTATTTCCAGATATAAACCATTTTTTTTCATGTGGTGATAAAGGATTCTAAAGCAGGTAATAAATAAAAATAGTAAAGAAAAATACATTTTCACTTCTAAGGGTGTAGGTTTATAGTCTCTTATCTGTAATTCAGAAATGAAAATAGGACTAAAAATCAGGTTTTTATAACTCATCTGCCACTGACACCTGACCTAAACTGGAGAGAGAGGCTGCTTATAACCTTTTGTTCATCCCACTTTGAAATTTTTCATGGAAACATTAATGTGTGTGACTGTGGATTGCTGCCTTTTACTGTGCTGGGTGTTATTTACTGTATGGTATAAACACTATATACTTAAAACCATACAATTCTGAGTTCTGGAATATCCATGTTCCCGAGGATTTCAGGTAAGAGACTGCAGACCTGGTTTGGACCTGTTTTTACTCTTCTGTGCCCTGAAATTGTGAAAGCAAGGGGGAAAGCTCCATATTTCTAATATGAAATGCTACTACCAGTGCCCATTCTGTTAATCTTTTAAAGCCTGGTCAGACCAGGAATCTGCCTCTAGACCGTTGGTTCTCAAAGCAGCATAAGCATCACTAGGGAGCCTGTTAAAAAATGCAAATTCTTGGGCCCCCATTCTAGATCTCCTAACTCAGAAACTCTGGGGTGGGTCTGGCCATCTGTGTTCTAACAAACACTCCAGAGGATTCTGATGCACGTTCAAGTTTTAGAACCACTGCCCTAGATCAGAATTGGCAAATTGCAGCCCACAGGCCAAACCCACATGCTTTTGTATGCATGCCCTTAAGCTAAGATTGGTTTTTACATTTTTTTAAATGGATGAAAAAGATTAAAAATAACTATTTTGTGACACATGAAAATTATTTAAACTTCACATTTTAGTGCCCATAAAGTTTTATCAGAAAATGGCCGTGGGACTCCTGGGTGGCTCAGTCGTTAAGCGTCTGCCTTCGGCTCAGGTCATGATCCCAGAGTCCTGGGATCGAGCCCTGCATCGGGCTCCCTGCTCAGCGGCGAGCCTGCTTCTCCCTCTCCCTCTGTCTACCACTCTGCCTATTTGTGCTCTCTATCAAATAAATAAATAAAATCTTAAAAAAAAAAAAAAAAAGAAAAGAAAAACAGCCTTGCCCATTCATTTATACGTTGTCTGTGGCTGCTTTTGTGCGACATCAGCAGAGACCATATGGCCTGAAAAGCTGAAAATGTTTACGATCTGGTCCTTTACGGAAAGAGTTTGCAAACCCCTGCTCTAGTCAGTAGTCAACATGAGGAGTATCATAAGCAGAGAAGGTAGTCCTGAGACCTTCCTTCATTTCCATGTGTGAGAGTTGTTCTAATCATCAGATCATTACATGGATGTACAGAGTTTTACATCAACATAATATTTGTATTATTTTGGAGGACTAAGAGCCAAGTAGTTGATATTTTAAGTTTAATCATTAAAAAATATTTTATAATCTGAAATTCTTTAGTTCTTTGGAAAAGATAAATCCACTTAACAAAATTTTTTTTTTATTTTGTGCTTTAACATTTCTGTCAAGGACTGTGTCGCAGGGTTTTATTATTTTGTGCAAGGTTTGAGCCAGCCATTTAAATTACCCTTTAAGTGGTGGTTATAATGCCCCTAGGTAGTCTATATTTAACTTTTTGTATCTATTCAGCCATCTCTCTGTGCTTACTTTGTTTACGGTGAGGATGTGAAGAGAGAAGTGTTTTTGATGAACTGCCCATTTGTTTTTCATTATCTTTTCTGGGAAGCTGTAATTTCCTCCCTGGGCAGCATTGACTTATACTCTTATTAAAAACTCCCAACAATTTAAGTGTGTGGATTCTGATATCTGCAATATTTGTACAGTTTTGATTATTTTTTTTCTTGGTCGTTTAAAAGTGAACATCATGCACCCCAATGGGCAGTAAGCCTTTACTTGTACAATGCAATGACCTCTAGTCATAAACATGTATTAACTATTTTATTTTTGTATGTGTGTGTGTCTTAATAAATTGTGTTCCTTAGGCAACTTGTTCCAGCGATGGCATGTTCCTCTAGAACTCCAGATGACAAGACAAATGGCTAGCTCTGGTGCATCAGGGGGCAAAATCGATAATTCTGTGTTAGTCCTTATTGTGGGCTTATCAACAATAGGAGCTGGTGCATATGTAAGTAGAAAAGCAGCTTGTGTAAAGAAGCTGCCAAACAGCTCCCATTAGTAGACTCAGTACTACTCTGCTTTAAAACTTTTGCAACTAATTCCCCTTTCTCCTTTTGAAAAAATTTCCAAAAAGCCTTCTTGAAAGTGCCTACTGTCTAATAACCCTGTGAGAGCCAATTTGGGAATGACTGAAATTTAATCTCCTGTTGATTAGCTTTGTTCTTTTCACTTGTCTTTTTACTCATTACTCGAAAGCCACTGTGTTTTCTTAGATTTGACTAATCCACAAAATTGTACCTTTTCTCTTGGATATGACACACTAACCTGTGAATAGGTGAGAATTCATTGCAGCTCCTTAGCACAATATTTGATTTTGCCCCATTTGTCAAATATTTTATTTTTTCCTCAGCTTGGGATAGACATTAAACAACAATAACAGCTTTCAATCCAAAATATTAAGTGTTCCTAGAAGGAAAGCTATCCCTGAATCTCACCCAAAGACTAAATTATAGAAGTTGGCCTAGTATCTAATTTCAGAATGGAATTTGTGTGAGGTGAGAAATACGGTTTTAAATGCTATGTAAAATTAACATAGTTATAGCTCCTTAAATGAACTCTGATCAGCTTAGTTGGTCACAGAGGAATTACTCTGTGGTGCTTTTTTTTTTTTTTTTTTTTTTTTTAACTTGGCAGGGTTTGCTGTGACTAAGCAGATCAGTCTAAAGTTGGATCATGTAAGGTTGAGTGAACCAACTTAGATAACACCTAGTAACACCCTTGATTGAAGGAAGCTGTTTGTTTCACTCCCCAAGAGCAAATGGTTGGGTGCCATTATAATTTTAGTTCTTTCCACATTGGTAAGACAGTGAAATTATTTTTGTTCCTTGGTCACTAGGTTGTAAAACAGGGAGATGAAAATGACTTGAAGTTACCTAGATTGTCATTCCCTGACCTGACTCCCAAATGCACAGAGACAGTTTTGGCCAGGTGTGAATGAACCCAGTTAAGTAAGAAGTAGGTGAGCTCCGTCCGCTAACCGGCTCTGAGGAAGTACACATCCTCCAGTCCTGGAGCAGCACTTTTTTCTTTTGTAGCACAGGGTAACCAAAAATGCTTCCCTGCCTTTGTGTTGAATGTTTCTTCATTAATACTTAGTGCTTTTTCTATTTCCTTTTGTTTCTTTCTTGGCCTTATCTTTACCTACAGTTGTGCAGTGTCATCACCTAGGATCCCCTTCTAGATCACTAGCGTCTGCAGGTGCTTCTGGGAAAGATGGCAGCAGCCTAGTATACTTCTTAATTGTAGGAGCAACAGTCACTGGGGCAGGAGTTTATTATGTAAGATGCTTACACTAAAATATATTTCGGGGTAGGGTGGGTGAGACCATGGCACTAATGAAAACTTGATCCATTAGAATACAACGAAGTATTCACAGCATGTGCTTTCTTGGTATTTATTAAAGGGACATTGTCAGTCACCAGGGAGCCCTCAAACCTCATCTTCCAAACTGTTGAAGTCCTACCAGATATATGTGAAGCCATACATTGAATGATTATTTTTAAAATCCTCATCATTAACCCTTCCTTCGAAACTTTTACCAAGGTCATAATTCTTTTTAAGATACTAAATTATATTGTGCTTTAGTGCTGCATACCTAACAAGATAGTCTCAAAGAGTAAACGTCAAATAAGCAAGTAAAAGTAACTTGAATGCCATCCATTTTGGATCATTTTAGGTAAAACGCCATCTTTGTGTTTTGTCAGAGACAATCAACCCGACTTTTACTGCGAAAAGGCATTTTATTGAATGCTTCTGAGGAGGTCCAAAGAGCCACAGAATTACAATATTCTCCCCACCCACCCCCAGCCTCTATTTCAAAGTAAATTCGTTTGGCAGTGTCCCTTTTGTAATCTCTAATTTGGTCAAACTAGTGGCTGAAGTGGTACAAGCTATAACACATTCGTGTAGACTGCTTTTGTAAACGCCTCTCATTCATGATTTAGATACTGCCCTCTGAGCCTTACCTCTTCCATTGCCTAGCTCTCGACTTCTGCTGTCAGTGCCACCCCATTCACTCCAAAATAGATGTGAAGTGTTTGCATCTGATATGTTTGTACCAGCTGAAACCTATTAAACCTCTGGTTTATGTTGCTGTACCAGAGTTGGATGGCCTTCACAGAGCTGGCCAGGCAAATCTCTTGATGCCAGGCCACAAGACAGGGCCACGAGTCACTGTTGCTTTCTTACTCCTTGGAAATATCTCCGAAGCACAAGTTCCTCTCAAGCCATTCACTTAAATGCCTCATTGCCCTCTGTGTTTATCCAACACTGGTAATAGTAAAGCTACTAGATTATAGTGGTTTCAGGTTAAATGATAAGCTTTTGTCTACCTACAACTGTTATTGAACTATTCTGTAAAGTTTTATATTGGGTTTTAAGTCATTTAAAATGTGATCTGAGGTAGCTTAGGTTTTTATCCTCTGAAATTGGTCTTAATCTAACAAGAACTTAAAAATTGGAGTTCAGATTTGATGAGATGTGGCTAGAAGTTATTTAGTGTTTGTTAGTCTGCTCTGACTGCCATAACAAAATAGCACAGACTGGGTGGCTTAAACAACAGAAATGTATTTTCTCACAGTCTGGATGCTAGAAGTCCAGTATCAGGGTGTCAGCATGGTCGGGTTCTGGTAAGAGCTCTCTCCCTGGCTTGACCACCTTCTCCTATGTCCTCACACGGGGAAGAGAGAGAGAGAGAGAGAGAGTGAGCATGAGCTCTGGAGTCTCTTATTCTTATAAGGGCACCAGCCCTATCAGATTAAGCCCCCCCCTTATTTAACCTTTATCACCTCCCAAATACCATCACATTGGGAGTTAGGGCTTCGACATAAGAATTGGAGGGGGACACACATTCAGTCCACAGTGGTGTTCCTTCATAACTTTTCTCTCTCACATGAGGAAGTGTTCCTAATTTGAGTACAAATACTATTTTAGTGACTACTGAGTTGGGAGCTCTTTACCACA